ACTTTGTGGCCACTCCAAACTCAAATGCCATACAATATAATAATCCTAATTCCGTATCTTATCGGGCACGCATCGGAAACTTTATATTTTAATTTCGAAACCCACCTAATATTTAGTTGACTAATCCCGATTCCAGATACGATCAGTTTGGTTGGTTTTTAATTTAATTGGGGTGGAAGCCCTGTAAAAGAATGCATACGCGCCCCGACTTTTTTTTAGACGACGACCGATTGTTTCGCGGTCCAATTAAATTTGTTATCGTAGATCGATATGCAATTGAAAAAAATTGCCAGGTAGTTTCATTAAAATTAATCTTGGTATCGGGCAATCTGCCTGCTTTTGATTACTTCCGGAAAAAAGTGGTTCATTAGGTATACGACTCTTGTATTATTATTACACATAACAAATATTATGATGGAGTTTTAATTATGTATTTTGATAGTTTTTATTAGTTGTTATATTCCGAGGCCGTATGGTTGTTTCCTTTGATCTTGGACAGTCAAGTAATATGAGAACCTTAAGTTATACTTTCATAGATAGCTCCCAAAATTTAGGGAAACCTTAAACGCTCCTATAAAATTGTTTTTAAAGTTTAAAATTCCAGAATTTTATGTTTGGTGCTAGTGCATCACATGTGGGGTGATATTAGCTCGAATCATTAAAATGAGATTGTATCAATCAACCAACAAATTTCGAAAAACAATACATCAGGGGTGTTCCAAAGCTAATTTTATATAAGTATCTATTGGCGAGTCAACAATAAATACAGATAAATGTCAAATGTTCAACCGCGGAGCGTAACAAATCATACTCGAATCAGAGCAGTTATACCTTCACTGAATCCCTCCCGACGTAAAACATTCCCTTCTTGTCCAGTGCCAGCTACCTCTTATAAGGAACCCCTTCCTGACGCCGACCTCGTCCCAATGGCATATTTAGTGGAGTGTCCGTTTTCAATACAGATACCACGACGTTGTCAGAGCAATACAAAACATTAAGCAATTTGCCGCGACATATTTTCTCCAAAGATTATGTCGGGCTATCCTCAAATTGCCGTTGTCGTGATAAAAAAATTATCAGAAGGAAAATAATCATGACGTCATCAGTACGTCATCGTTTTTGACAGTTGAGTAAATCAAGTATAGCTAACCTAACCTGAATAGTTTGGCTTTGGTTCAAGAGGGCGATATTCAAAATGGCGGTCCCATTTTAGCGAAATTCAAAACAGCGACATATCAAAACCGCGATATTCAAAACAGCGACATTTAAACAGAGTGACATATCAAAAGAGCGTCTTATCAAATGAGTGACATATTAAAAGAGCGACATTTGAAACGGCGATATCTAAACAAAACAGCGACATATCGAAAGAACGACATATTAAAAGAGCGACATCTAAAACAGCGACAACTGACTAGAACAGCAGCACACCAGAGGAGCAACATTTGGAACGGCGACATCTAAACAGAAAAGCGATATGTTAAAAAACTTGCCCGTCACTTTTCCTTCGTTTATCCTCGCTGATGTGAAGCTTGTTGTTGTTAGGTACCACCTTCTGTCTGGGCGCGTTTGTCTATCAATCACATGCTTTGAGGCACTGTACGATGGCAACATCTCTCCTTCGTTAAGATCAGTAATATTACTTTCAATCAAATTTCTTGGTCTAACATCAAGATTTTATTTTGACTTTTGTTTTGTATTAGTACCTACTAGTGTGTGAAGAATGAGTGTAAAATAAATATAATAGTCATGCCGGTTGGAGAGCTTCTTGGAGATCACTGTACTTAGACCCAAAATGCCTGTCCCTGCCTGCAGTCGAGGTATGCTTTTACAGGGATGGAATCAGTTTCCACAGAATTTCGTGAAAATGTGATAGCAAAAATATTATTCACTAAACATTCTACTAGAAATATATACCTACCAAGAAATAGTTGGGTTTTCAATATTTTTGGCCATAATCAATTGGACGAATCCCAGGAGTGGAAATTGCAAATTGTTACAATAATTTCACGATACCTCCGTCCACCCTTCGTCGACAAGAACAGCACTTTGCGACCAATAGCGGCATTGTTTTGTTTTCTTTTCAAAGTCAATGTAGTGGTATCAGTACAGCTTTGTGGTATTTATTTTAATTTTGTTTTTTTTTTTCGTCGCTAGATTTGTGTTTTTAAAATGAATGAATCAAACGACAAACAGTAACGACACGTGTAAAGTGTAAACTAAAGTGTAAACTGTAATGTCAACAAGTTGACTTGACGATGACGTGATTCACAGGTAGCTTTGTTTTGGTTCGAAAAAAGGACGGTTCTAGAACGGTTCAAAACAATCGCACGGTTCATCAATCAACAAAATGACAACGGCTCGGCTATCAAAAATTTCGATAATAAACTGTGCGATTGTTTTGAACCGTTCTAGAACCGTCCTTTTTTCGAACCAAAATAGAGCAAGTGACAGAACAGATGCGAAATGCTACAGTAAACTGTAAACTTCATAAAAGATAGTGCGCCATCTCGTGGTATTGTGTGGTACTGCGCCTCTTGCGGTCGATGACGTCACGCGCTCTTTTACACTGAAATTCAAATTAGGAATTTTAATATATTTTTTTTAAAGTTAGCGATAACTTTCGAAAAAAATTAAATCACGGGTCTCCTAAAAATCGATTTAGATTAATATTATGCAATAACAAAAAAAAGGCTTAAACACCGGATTCCAAATCGTACAAGTTTGATTCTGATTTAACGCTTATTGATCCAGTTTTGGATCAATAAGCACGAAAGACGTGTTCAAGGACTATCTTATTTTAAGCCCTAGGAGATTGATACTTGGATGATCTCGGATGGCCACCGATGCAGTGTTGACAGACTGTGCACACTTTCACCAACTTACGGAAGACGTTAATTCGGTAACGTCACACTCCGTATTGTTTCTGATACTGCCTCCTTCCTAAGAGCTATTCGTCCCGAACAGCTTCTCTTGGGATGCGACCTTAGGTATGTTTGTACCTCATTATGGGGTCAGCTTTTCTGTGAATGACCTTCGGCTTGGCTTTCGGCGAAAGTTGAATCCTGTACACCAAGTTAGTAATCTTCTTGATGACCTTGTATGGTCTTTTCCACGGTCTTTGCGACGTCGGGAATAGCCCCCTCTTCGCTATATTGAATAACTACAGTTTATCAAGTCTCATCATTCTGTCAATAATCAGCCACATAAATTGGAACTATAGCTTCGTGTTCATCGGCTTGTAGTCTGCCAAAACGTTAGAACTACGGAAACTTACATTTCTCTTCCTTTTATAAGCCAGAAGGGAAAGACCGGTCCATCCCATTTTCACTGTTATTCATCCACAAACATCGAAATGGCATCGACTGATGGTCCCATTGTGCCTCTTCATCATTCCGTCGGACTGTCGATTAAAAGGAGTCCTTTTCGCTTCCATTATTTTCAGTATCCTCATTAATTGTTTGTTTTATTACTTTGGACTGAAGATTTTGAAAATTCGTCTCCTGATCGGTATGATCGGTAGCTTGTGTCTGAGAATGGTGTTTTGTTGGTAATGCATCAGCAAATGCTACTCAGTAACCATTTCTGAATTGAGGATTGGAAACACTCCTGTTCACTTGATGATTAGATTATATCGTAGGCAGAACGAATACAATTGAAGACAATATCCATCCAAAGTGTCACGGCAACTGAAAATGTCTTGCAATCCCGGTCGTTGTCCATTTTTCAGCCAGGAACGCACCATTTCTATGCACTTGTCAACATTCTGTTCCTTTTCAAATTTTTCCTGGCTAATATTCTAGCTATTATTATTAGCACCCAATAAACATTTTTGCTTGTATAATAGTCACCGTAAATGTTATATCACCTATCTTAAATAACCTACAGTTATATATTTGGTAACAGAAACCTTTCTGTTACTCTTATGAACCCCTTAAAGACCTTAAACGGGGCATTTATAAAGGTTGCGAAAACCTTTGTTTAGTAACGCTATATAAATTTAGGTCATATAACCTAGAGTAACAGAAATATTGTGGTAACCTTTATATAACTTTCTAAATAACTCGGTCTCAAGTGGCATTATGTAGGTGTTATACCTATATGTTTCGGTTACCGTTATAAACTTTGCGTATATTGGTGTTTGAAATAGTTCCGTTACTTAAATTTCGTGACTTCTTTATGTCAAATATGTCACTTGTCAGTTATAAAAAAAAAACGAAGGTTTATTTCTCTCTCTATCGAACATATTTAGTTTACAATGATATGGCCTTTTTCTACTTCGGAAATATTATCAGTCAGTACTTAGAGGATTGGACTTGGAGAAAATAAAAATGGAGAGCAAATTATAAAATACGGCGTGGTTTGTTAGATTAATTTTAGGCTCTTTCGTGACTCAAAAAGTAGGTGGGAACGATTTTTTACTGTAAATATTGATGAATTACTTCGAAAAAACGCAGGGGCCCTTGAAATACCCAATAATAATCAATTTCATATCGGGTTTTCGAAAAATATACGCATGTTTGTTTTTTAATTTGCAACGAATTGATAACCAACGAAATTTGTATCAGTCACCATTTGACAAATATGGGTTAATTTCGTTCTATTAATTGTTGATAAAATAAGTCAAATATTGGATTTTCACAAAGTAATTCGGTAATATTATTGATCTTGGCAAAACAATTATGGCGGAATCAATGAAGTAACGATATAAATATTGGAAAGCATAATATCAATTAGGGTGACCTTATACTACACGGTAACAGTATACAACTTTAATAGTGTTGTTATAAAACTTATCGAAATTCAAAGTATACCTATATAAATTATAGTAACATACGTTACTAAAAGTAAGTTTATAAACTTTTAGAATGTAGTGGTAACGGCAACATTGCATCACCGCACCACCGGCACCATCGCCCGCATATATGTTTATAAGCTCAAAATATTTGATTTAATAATAAATATCTACCTACTAGATTTTGTCCTAAACCTAAACAAACATGTCCTTCAAAATTGTGCAAGCAAAAGAGCCTGGACGTAAGGCCCCTTCTTTATCAATTGTGCCATCGGCTTGGGAAAAAGACGGAACTTTATTTTGGCCTCCTGCTAAAAAGAAGGGACTCTTGTTCAAATTGATCAAAGATGGAAATTCCAGACCAGAACCAGACTGGGTCTCTCAGCCCTGCACCAGAAAAAGGCAAATATTTCTGTCATATGAAGCGGCAGACTTAGAGTTAATTGCAATGGAACAAAAAAGTGATAGTGAGGCAGAATATAGGGAATTGCCAAAAAAAAGGCCAATTCGAAAGAGAATCGAGGCAGAAGAGGAGTTGTTGCCAAAAAAGAGGCTAACCATTCAAAAAAGAACCGAAGTCGGTAGAGTTTCTCAAGCCAATTTAAATTTTCTTGCTGAGGAATGTAAGGTAGGTAAATTTTTAAGAAAATTGTTATTTTCAGTACCTATCTACCTATACGTAACGTACCTAACTCAAGTAATAATGCATCTGCTTTCTGTTTAGTATTTTAAAATCAATTTTATATTACAGAAAGCAACAGAGCTACTTGGCATAGAGGATACAAGTGAACTCTATAATATGAAAGAGGACAGGGAGAATTTAAATGTGCAAAATCAGTTTATAGGCATGGTATGTTTCGAAAATTTTACCTACCTACTCAAAATAATAAATACCTACCCCTATCAAATACAACATAGAATTCTATAGAGTCTATGTTGAACATTTTTTTAAAGCTTTTTCTTAAAACATAATCTAAAAACATACTTTTTCTTGATTTTTAATTTTTTACAGCCAATCAATAAGAAGAGTGGAAATATTCTACAGCAGTACACAAATAATGTATCACAAAATTTGGAGACAAATAAGGTAGTAGCAATAATCAATGTGGGTACCTATATGAAATTTTTGTTTTTTTTTTCCTAGCAGGTAGTAGAGGAAGAGGATCAAAGAAAATCTCAACTATTTCAAGATACAGAATCTAAATATGAAGACGTGGAACAAAGCGATCCAGATGAGCAAATAAACTTATACGTGGATAATCAAAAAATGATACTGCAAAATCAAAGTGAGCTGTTAGAAAATCAGCTGCGAATTATTGAACAGCTGGCAAATCAAGAAACTATGATAGAGCAAATTTGTCGGCAACTATCCAGTGACAAAGATAAAGGATTCACGACAAGTCAGATAAAGCTTCTACAACCAAAGAAGCAACACTTGATCCCCTGCCCATCAATGCATTAGCCAATTTAGAACAATTGGAGATTAAACTTTTAGATGAAATATATATGGAAAAATTGGTCAGTTAATTTTTATATTATGAATAGGGTATAAAAAAACTACCCTAAAGTTGATTATTAATTTTTTGTTTTCCTTTTAGGTTAAATGCAAATCTCATATTTGTGGAACCAGCGGCAGAATGAATGGTTTGAACTGCTCTTATGGATTAGTTGATTGTTTTTTCGAAAGAGAATTACTGCTTCAATTTGCATGGAGTGGGGGCAGTAGGCAAAACGAAGGCAAGATGGCGTTCAAAAAATATAAAAATATAATGAATCTATTTTATAAAATAATCAGAAAAGCTGATTCCCAATATACAGAAACAGACTGCCAAAATTTTTTCAAAAGCGTTATAAAAAATGCCAAGAGGCGCTTTGAACTGGCAAAAAATTGCATGGAAAAAAGAACGGCGTCAAGCGGCAAAAAAAGACCCAACAACTTAACCTACAAAAAGATTAAAGAAAATGCCGGTGGAATAACTGAAGAAGCTGGAGAAAATGACGCATCTGTTGGCGAAAATGAGACAGCTGAAGAAGATGAGGTAGCTATTGAAGAAAACGAGGTAGCTATTGAAGAAAACAAGGTAGCTAATGATGAAGAAGCTCTGGTAATTCTAGTGACAGATGAAGCTGAAGACAATTAATTTTTAATTTAATCAATAGTTTCTTTTCTGTTTTTTGTTTTTTCATTTTAATGTTTTTTATACTTCTAATAAGAAACCTATTTTATTTAAAAGATGTATAGAGGCTATTTTCAGTTACCTAAGTTTATAGAATTGATTTTTCATTTTTGCTTATGCCTTTCTGAATACATATTATAGAAGGTATATATTTTATATATAACTTCAACAAATAATTTAATAAAAACTTTTGTTTTATGTTAGAAATAATTGTTTTATTACAGGGTATGCAATAGTGGTATAAATACAAATGTTTCTAAATCTTTCTTTATACATACTAATTTACATTTTATGCTATTTAACAAATAAAATTAAGCAATATTTTCTTCGCAGTCAGAAGCATATATATTTAAATATGAGGACCTGACAGGTGTATCAAAAAAGTTATAAATATGTTTTAAGGATGACCCATAAATTGAATTTTTTTTATTTTCACAAATAATGTTTTTCATATTCACGATTTCATTATCGTTTGTTAAAAACCATTTGTTTTTGAAATCATTATTTAATGTGAGACCATCAAATACTTCTATCTGATAAAAAAATGTTGCTGAATTGGTTGGAACAGTTATTTCTTCACCATCATTTTGTTTTTTTAAAACTGGGAACTTCTTTTCAAAATTATTCGCTTGTGATATAGTAATATAGTCCTTCTCGCTCAGTCTTTTAGCTACTTGTGTGAGTGGATTTCTTGCATTTCTAAGTAAATTTTTTATATGAAAACAGCTTACTTTCAAATGGATATGATGAAAAATTTGATAAAATTCCAAACCTTTTGACATCGTCAACTAAATGAGATAAATTATGCACATTACTTGTAATGTATTCTTCTCCGTATATTTCTTTGTAATTTTCAAGATACTGAAGAAGCATTTGTTCAGCTAAGGTAATATATTGAAAATGGAACTTTGATGAGCATATTGTTATGGCACAAAAAAGAGCAAAAAATGTTCATATACATCATAAGGTAAATACTCTTTTAATATGACAATACCAATGTAATGGAGAAATGTACGGTATTCAAGTCCTTTCCATTGTGAAAGGCAATCAAGACCTCTAACTGCTCGATGAATTTCCAGGGGCATTTTGCAGCCATGTAGAAAAGTTGATATATTCCCGGCATCCGTAGCAGACCATTTCATCCTGAAGCTACGGAAACTTCCATCTTTCCAGCCCATCAAACATCGTTTCATTACTCCTAAATCAATAAGGTGGAGAGAATCTGCCACTGGAAAATCATTCACCATAACAATTGGGAGATTTTCTAGGGGTGTATAACATTTGTGGTGAGGACCATATTGCCTTACAGTAATCATATAAAACCGTTATATCAATACATCACCAAAAGGTACAGATTATAAAACTACGAAACTTTCGTATATACTTCTATTACCTTTATGTAACCAGTATAAAACTTCGTGTTACTATAAGTTGCCAAAAATGTTTATTGGGTAGGTATCGGTATATTTGAAACTTATCTGTCGAACCCAGGATTTTTGGCCGCCTCCTTCTCTTCCTGCGCTTGACAAAACAAGGAAGGGTTATCATAAACGGTCATCGTACCTAATAGGTTATAAGCGTTGGCATGATTTCTTGCTTCGTGATGTTTGATTTGGAAGTTGTAGCTTTTAAATTTCACTAAGAGGCGATTTGACTTTCTGAGCTTTTGAAGTTTAACTGCCACTGCAAGGCGGAATGGTTGGTACTATCTAAGCACTTCGGTCTGTGGCATTGTTCAATAGATATCGCTACTGCCTGGCTTCTTTCTTGCGGCACAATGATCTACCTCTGCCTTCATAAAAGATTCACTAAAATAACTAATAACCATTTCTTCACCGTTTGAACTCGGGAGAGAACAGTTTTCATTCCATTTCAAGAAACGTCGGTGTGTCTAAAACAAACAATCCTTCAACATGGGCCAAAAGTGTAGTACTGGTCGATCTGTTTTTTTAGCTCCACAAAAGACTGATATTCTGGTATCCAATCAAAGTTAGCGCCATTTTCAGACAGTTGATGTATTTGATAGATACCTATTGAGCTATTAGAGACTCTTCCACCAGCTTCCCACCAAAACTTGAGCACTTGTTGATGCGTTAGAGCGTCGTTATGGATGTCAACACCAAAGACAGCTTTACCAGGTACAACTAAGAGCAAGGTAACAGAAAGCTGCAGAAAGCCTACAAGAATTTTAAACCGACATCCGCCGTCTGGTTAATTTGGTCTGCCGGAAGCAGCAACAGAAATGTGAGATTTCTGGAGCAAAGACTAGAGGTGTGTCGATTCGTGAAGAAAAAGAGCCAATGGGAGGAGTTAAAGGCACCATAATGAAGAAATTTATGGAAAAATTAGGGAAGGCTGCTATCAGAATCAAATTGGTAAACTTGAAAGGCAGCATTAAATGTTACCGCTGCGGAAGAAGGGGAAACGGGAGCGTAATGGTAGAGTAGGTACTTTTGAGATCTCCCTTTCCTTTCAATGACTCTCAGGCTTCAATGGGTAACTTGAAAAAGAGCTCCGAATTTTACCGCTTCGGAAGAAGAGGACATTTCAAATGTGACAGAATTTTGAATCTCCACCTTCTCTTGAAGATGACTTAGAAGGCGATGTCGTTCTGAGAGAGCTTTTAGCCCGATTTTCTAAACTATCATGGAACACCAAATCAGCTTAAAAAATTGATTAGAACACATTGGTAAAAATCACGTATTTTATTTCAATTTTTATTGCAATATTTTGTACGTAATAAAACAGAGTTTTTTTTTCTGCAATTTGTTTAACCAGAACTTGACATTGTTTTCCTAAAGTTACAAATAGCAATTTAAATGAAAATCGAGATATTGGCAATTTATCTCTGAAGAGACTCAAAATTTTCGTTCGGCTTCGTCTGGATAAATAAATTGCATACTTAGTTACTTTTGACAAAAACAAATTTATCTTTCGAAAATTGAACGTTTGCCCATATACATGCAAATAAGGGTCCGACACAAAAATTAAACAGCCTTCAGCAGTTTTTTGCGACGGTGTCGAATATTGTTATTGCATTGAACAAAGTTAAAGAAATAACCATTTCATGTGTAACTACTGTATTAATCCGAACAAAAGCCCACCAGTAATATCGTACACCACCGAGAGCAAAACTAACACAATTACTACCGCGAAGGGAGCGAAAAGGGAATGGGCGCCCCGTTTACACAATAAACTACGGTTAGGAAGTACTAATCGGATAATTAGGCCTAATTAGCTAACGAGTATTGAAAAAAATTTGGCATCTGTCGGTTTTTTGATGGCTAAATAAACCTATTCTGGACACACAATTTCTCCCACATTGATTGCACACCCAATCAGCGGTAGCCGGTTACTGTTGTAAACCAGCTCTTATCAGGCGTGCATGTTCCTTCCGACGATTCCGTTTGCCTTCCCAATCCCTTTGCCTTTTTCGCTCAAACTACTGCGAGCCTTGATTCAGAGCCGTAACCTCCAAGTCGCCGACATCGATGTGACACGCTTTTATGTCTGTCTTCAGGACATCTTTGTATCGTTTAAATCGGCCTCCTTTGCTGCGTTGGCAATTTTTAGTTGAAAATACTCATTTTGTTCAGAGAGACGTGAGTCTGGCATGCGGACGACATGCGCAGCTCTTCAAAGCAGCAAAGGATACTGTTATTTGCTCGCCGGTTTATTTTGAGAACTCTTCTTGAGCAGCGCTGGTGATACTTTCCTAAACACCTACACTGTAGGTTGTCCAGTTTCACATCCGTAGAGAAATATTGGTAAAAACAGCAGGCCTATTCTCTACGAACAGCAATTACATAGCAACCAGCAACTGGTCGCAAGTTGCTTTTTTTGAATAGAAAACTCGCGTTTGGCAGCGACTTGACAGCGACAATTGCGCAATTCTCTGCGATCGTAAGTTAAAAAATGCTATGGTTTTTTAAACGTATGTCTTAGCAATATTTTTCTTTATTTTGTCAATTAACTTTAATGTCAAAATGTAATGTCAAAAATTCTGACCAATAAAAGCCGCTTTCCAGCTGACCATTTTGAGCACGCAATCGAGATTTTGCGCGCGCAAATGCTTCAAGCGCGTGTTCGTGTTCCAGCAGTACTGCGCTTCGAGAGCTGCTAACTTTTGCGTTCCAAACACAGAACACTGTGCTGCACCGTGCTTGAAACACAAACACAATGTCAGCTGTCAGCTGGAAAGCGGCTGAAGAAACAATAATGCGACGTACGTTTTCGTAATCAAAGCACTTTTAGATTGTTTTTTTTTTGAAGACCTGTTATGACGTTTGCATTGTAGACCGCGAGCTTAGTTTGGGAGCTTAGGTGTGTGGTTGTTCAAAAGCTGGAGTGCGTTTAGAAATGGAGTGTGAAGGTAGAGTAGTTGTTTTTCAGAGTGTTCTGACGTCATCACTTGGAGTGCAATCTGGGTGCGCTATTTCTGAACGTATTGGGGCGTTGCGGTAAATGTCAATGTCATGAATTATGAATTTTAAAAATGGCAGTGAGAAGTGCATGCATCATGTTCTTATCAAAAGAAGTCCTGCTGGAACATCTTTCATCTGAAAAAAGTGCTTCAGATAGTGAAGAGGAATTGATCCTATTGTTGAATCAGTGTAGAAAGAGGGCCAACCCAACCTATTCAAAAAAAAAGCAGTCAACAAGGGGCCCTTATTCTTCAACACAACGGCAAAGTCGACATTGTTGATATCCACATTTTTCGACTCCATCGCTAAGAATAATTATACAACTAATGAAAATAACCTTAAAATCACGTCAAACCCGGTAAAAACCGCGAGGCGTTTTTTAACTCAGTTCCTGAGTAGGGTAACTTGGGCACATCAACTCTAAAGTCACTCTTACACCCAGAGTGCTATTTCTAAACGCAACCCTGCGCTGACGCACTTCAGTCGGTGTTGAATTTCCGCGTCGATATTTGCATTTGTGGAAATATGACTAATGAGGTA